AAAGGAGATTGTGGGGGAAATGAAGTAATAAAAATGAATGTTGCATCGAGTCAGCAGTGGGGAGCGAGAGAGGCATGGGTGGTATAGAATCCCTAACTACAGGTAAGCGATGAGCAAACTGAAAACTGTGAAGTATATTTCAGTGCCCCAGTAACCTAGAAAATGTTCCTGAGCAGAAGAGGGGGAAAAATAGATGGGAAATTGTCTGAGCTATCCTAATCTATGAAACGGCTTAATCCCACAGTCCTGCTCTCACAGATCACCTTCAATTGACTGAGCACATCTGGTTTTGTTTTAACATAACAATTAAAAATGCCAGAACACTAATAAGTAGGTAACTGGATTTTTTTTTGCCAACAGAAAAGATACCACAGTGTCTTAAGGAACAGCCCATTTGGCTCTGTTATTTCTGCAGTGCTGCCAATATAAAGATATATTAAAAAGCCACATACTGCCTCCCATCCTAAAATATCCAGCTTGTGCTTTATTATCACTTTTCTTCAGAGTGCAGAAATGTTGTTTATGTGAATAATGGACCTGACATGGACATAGGAGCTAGATGTGTGTGAAGAAGTTGTGTGTGCATATGCAGGGTTTGTGCTAGGCTGGTTGTGGAGCTAGTTTAAGAATGGTAACGAAGAGTTTTTAAGACAATTCGTGCATTTACCAATGGGGGTTGGTTTAAATACAACATTTTTGTACAAAGGAGTGGTTGTGGGGAGGAAGTAGTAGAAATGAACAGAAACCTCTTGCTCCTTCAACCAGAGAAGAAGATCCTGCTTTGTTTTTCTAGCCTACCCAAATGAATTTTTCCAGCAAAAGCTGGAAGGGAAGCCAATGCTTGACATTTCTAACGTGGTTAAAAAACCTGAGGCAGGATTTGAACACACCACAAAGAAGCATAGTAATGTTACCCTTGCAGTTTTCACAATTGAAAATGGCAATTTGTGAAGGCTTTGTACTCTAAATTCAGGAGCAGAATGCTAGGGCATGATCTCCATTGCTGAAGCTTCTCGGGAACTTTCCTGTCCTGTTTCATTTCCATAAAATTCAGAAAGTAGGGGGATGCCGCTGTTTCAGGTCTTTTGCACAATAATAATAATAATAATATCCTTATGACTTCCATATCAGTATCCTTCTGACTACTCTGCTTGGGACTTCATATATATCTTTTTTGGTCAGAAACCTGAAAACCAAAAACTTTGGCTAAAAATGATAGGTTTGTTTTTAATCAGTTTGCCCCAATTTTCCAACCAGGTAATATACTGTAGTCCATGGAACAAGGCATTGGGCTTAAACTTGGACTGAAACTCAGGAGTCATGGATACAGAGGAGAATAATGTTTTTTTCCTACTATTTCTGCTTTAGGTAAAAGAAAAAAGCAGAATATTGTGGCGATTTAAAGAAAGAAGAGCATGGTTAAAATATCTTTTGTACCTCATCTCTCTTTTTCTTTCCCAATCACGTCTCCAATTAAAAAATTAAATACTACCAATAATTATGATACAGGAATGTTTCAAAAAGCCTTTTGAATTTACAGACACTGTGATTGTACCGTATATTATAACACTACTTGGTATTCTACATTCTCTGTCTTCATGTTTTCAAAACTCTGTATGCACATTAACTAATTACATTTTATTTCAGTGAGCCAAAGAACAACTCAGCCACAATTCCTTTGTGAATTATACCATCACATCATGCATCATTCAAATGAGAGTGCATTTATAGTGCCCCTCTACACTCATCTCACACTCTGCTTACCAAAAAACTAACCTTCTACCAGAAGGGGGCATCCATTGTCTAAAAAAGGGACAGTTACATTTTGTGTGCAAAAGAAAATGGTATTACAATATTATAGAGTAAATTTAATGATATGGTAATGGAGAAATAGCAACACTTTTACATATAAAAAAAATATTCCCGGCTATAGAAACAACTATATTTTCAAACACTAGAAGAAATCCTATTAGTAGTGTGTGACTTCTGTACATTTGGGTTTGAAAGGCATGTGTGTGTGTTTAACTGGGTCTTAAAATTGTTTAACTAGTCCATCAAAGGTATATCTAATGGTGCCCTTGTTTATTCTTTCCAGACTTTGCTTGGTCAGAATGATGCTTTCAGTTCTAGTAGGAGGCTCCCCTATTTCCTAGCCAAAATGGGCTCAGATGGGCTGTACTTTTCCCTCTGCAAACTGCCTCGGGCTCAGCCTTTTAGCAGTTTTGTGGTGCATCTGCTTCAGGAAATCTGTCATAAGTTCTCTCTGGATCTTGCTGCTTTTCTCTGAGGTCTCAGATTTGTTGCACAAATCTATCCCTTTGTGAATTAAGAGAATGGCTTGGGCTGCTCTGAAGCTCAGAAGACCTTAACAAAGAGAATAAAATATAGCACTCCTCTTGCCATAACATCGAGGCTTTATAAACTAAAATGTGTGTCCAAAATATCTAACTTGGGTAAAAATCCTGAAAGGGCTGTTACTATCAAAGCAGAATTGCATTTTTTTAATATGATATTTCCCAAAACATTCTTTTTTGATAATCCTTTTTAAAAATATTTTTATGTCAATGTTAAGGTATCCTAAAAGACAAGTTAACAAATAGCAATGTTGGTGAATTAAAAATAAAACCATTAGATAGTATTGTTTTGTGTTTAAAAAATGAAACGGCCTTTTTAATCTAATTTTAAAATTAAATCACTAGGGCCAAATGTGGCTGATTTCAAAACACAGGAAAATGCTCATTCTGTGAACACAGAATTGTCTACCTAGTTACACAGATAATAATAAAACAGCAGTTGTGTGTTTGTAGAAATTAAATCACTGGATTTTAGGGGAGAGGCTGTGGTTAGGGATGCATTGTGTTTGGTTTGCACCCTGTCCCCCCAGCCCCTTTATTTTAGAAGGAAAAAATGAGCCCAAATAGTAAAAGTTGCAAAAATATTCAAATATCCTTACCATCACAGCTACAACCTCACTCTTGCACTACCAAAACCATTCAAGAAAGAATCTAAATGTTGAAAGAAGATAATGTAGGTAAGCAACACAAAAATAACTATGATACTAGACAAGGCATCAAGTCTAGCCCTGGGACAAAGCATTTTAATCGGGGATCCTACAGATGTGCAAGCCCATCATCCCACTTCAAGTATCTGTGAAGTATCTTAAATAATACTCAAGCTGTGTGTGTAAACAACTGTCTCAGCCCTTTTCTTTGATGGGAGACAAAGCCCAGGACAGTCAGACCAACCCAACACCTGTTTTTTACCCTTGGACTGAGTTGTCAGTGATGGTTTGCTTGATGATTCTGTATCTGACTTTCTTGCCAAGAATTTTCTATACAGATTTCCCTTGCTTTATGCTGTATATGCATTCCTGGAAAATGGCACATAACTCATATTCACATAAAGGGAACCCACTTTACAATGCAACAAATAGGGATACGTTCCAAGACCTCGACTGTACTGACCCCCAGGCCTATTTCTACAACTTTTACAAGACAATTTTGGTACTCACCAACAGCAGACAGTACACACAAGCACAGGGCACTATCATAATGGGGATGGCAACTACAGAAACATGTCTCAGACAACAAGCGAGTAGCACAGATCCACATAGGAGACTCTATTTTGGTGTGCGTCACTCCTACAATTCACGGCACAAAGCAGCTGACTGTGGGCTTCCACCACACCGATCGCATAAAAGTAAATTTACCTTCAATACAACAAATTTTTTTTATATAAAAAGGGACATTGCATAAGAGCCAATTCACACATACAGAACACACACAAAGTCTGGGAAACCTGTATCATCATTCAGTGGATTATTTAGGTGGTTCCCTGGCTGAAAAAAGATGTCACATTTATCTTGGGATAAAACTTTTTATTCTGGGACAATATGCAATCATACAAATGTCCATGTCGGGTGTCAAGGATAAATCATAAAAGTTTCCCAGCTAAGAGGTAACAACAATTTTTCTGGAATGTTACAAAGTACGTCTATGGTTATCCCAGGATTGTATCATTGATTAAATGGCAGAAAAGCAGCACTGCATTCAACTGCTCACTAAACCGTCATTAGAAGGGTGATTGTATATATATGCCAATCCTGGGATATTTTTGTTCTGAAAACACAGGTACAGTTTATCAGAGACAAACATCTGTGTCTACTCCTTGCAACTGAAGCAAGAAATCACTAAGCATAAAAGAGGAAAGTTGTAGTGGAGCAGGATTTAGAAATAAAAATATAGAAACTAAAGTAGTTGGCTGTGGGAAAAGAAAGTAGTTGACTGAATTCCTTGCAGACAGCTGTTTATGGTAGCTCCAGGTACTGTGGGGTAAGAGTTACCTTATGAAAACACCCTGGAGGAAAAAAATACATATTTTATCCCCTTAATTCGCCAATCATGTCTCTTCTGAAGTTAGTGCTTTTAATGGCACAGGTCTGGTTGATAGAAATGGTGGCAATGGAAATGGTGGAGAGAAAGGTGATCTTGGTCTTTCTACTCCTATAAATATTACTTGGGATCTTGCCTCCAACAGTGTGGTCTCTCTCAAACTGCAAAATAGTAACCGGATGGAAGATAGGCAGAGAAAATGTAGGACAGCACAATATTGGATTTTTCAAATAGAATGGTAAAATTAGGTGAAAAAAACCCACAGAACAAAAAGGCAGCAATCAGAAATGCAGGAGAAATAGGGCAGTTACTCTTCTGAAATTTCCAAAAATATTCATCAGTAAAGGTTTTCATAGCAACATAATGGTCTGCAGAGGTTGTTTTTTTCAGTGCTATTATTTATAAATACAGGGCCTTGGGCCAATGATGACCAAATGCACAAGACAGTTCACAGATAATATGAGAAACTCCAACAGAACGTAGAAGTGGGAATATCAAAATATTTCAGTGACAAGTTTTTTTTCATTTGGTATTGGAAATGGAGAAAAGGAGAGATGCAGAAGTGAGAATGAAAATTGAGCATTTTTTATGTCTGAAAAATCAAGCATTTTATGGTTAAAAACTGAATATTCTCTAGAAAAACGACAAAATTATGCAAAATTTTCTTCCTTCCAAAAACAATTCAAACAAAAACGTTATTTATCAACAAGCTGTAGACAAACAGTGTAAAACCAAAGGTACTCCCCTCAACATGGGGCACGAGTTTCAGTGGAAGTGTTGTTAGTGTAACAGCTTCTTCTAAGTCCCATAACTCAAAGCTTCCCAGGAAGAAAACAGAACCTACAATGTCCTGCTTACAAGGTAAAGTATAAGTCCATTTGAAGAGGATGTTTGCTGTGTTGAACAGTAGCAGGTGTGTGTTTATTTGTTTGTCTTCTTAAGAATCACCAATTCTCTCCATAAATGCCATTGAAAGGTTTCTGCATGTTAAGTGCATTTACAGTTTTAAAGCATTTGTTTAATGATGAATTTGCCTCATTGAGGAATCTCACTTTGGACAATGGGCTCCTTCCTGTAACAGCACTACACAGCACATTGCTGTGTCAGCTTATACACTGCTTTACTACAAATTTCAAGAGACATTAAAATAGAAAGTAATGAAAACATTGAATGTGGATGCAAATGCAGGAAGCTAAAACAATAAGGATCAGTCATCTCAGAAGTGTGTGTGGTATAGTACAGCTTGTCCTAGGATCCTGGACTTCTTATTTTTTAGCATATAAAGGAAGGTTCGAAGTAGCCTTGATTTACATAAATGGAGCAGCATGTATCTACTATCATCTTTGAAGGGCAGGTGCAGTTTGCAAAAGTGGTGATCCATCCTGGTCCAGGCAGAGATGGCTTAGCTCCAGACAGAACGTTTGTGCCAGAACCTGTGGTAATCCTATACCGGAGTACCTCATAGTTAATCCCTCCATGGGCTATGCTGCCATAGGAAAGATGAAGCCAGCTGCAAATACTACTGTAGATAGCCCTGTCTTTACAGTACAGACCACACTGACCTGAACTTCCTTTAACACCTCTTCCCTCTAATTCTCACCAACTTAGAACTTCATTGGCGCACATGTGGGTAGACATATATTACTCAACTCTGGCTCTGCCACCCATGAGTAACAGTCATTGCATGTTCCTGCCAATGAAACAATTAATTTGTCTGGTGAGATCCCTGGAGAAAGGAATCCTCTTCCACAATCTGAGGGCTGGCATAGGCTCCATGGCACGCAAAGCTCCTAGAGGTGCTCTGTAACAGGAGAGCCTCCAGTCCCATGCCTTCCCAGCTGCCGTGAATGCAGAGGGGCAGGGGCCACTTCTGTGCAGTCTACCTATTTCTTGTCCTCTCCTACATTGCTTTTGCTGCTAAATGAAAACACACAAGGCTCCAGAGGCAGATTTTACTCCTGCAAATATTAAGACTGAAGACAGTGTGTTTAGCCTCCAAAAATTCTCATTTAGTAGAGAGGTGTATTGATTTAAAAAATGAATGGATTTAGACACCCTGTAAATCAAAATAATAAGTCAAGCTGGAATCTTAGCAGCCTGAAATAATGTTACCTGCTGCACTGTAACTCAGTTTAATTCCAGCATCTAACTAGAAGTAAAAATCACAATGTGAGAACAATGCAATTAGATTTCAGACAATTAAACAAGATACCATTGTTCTGTCATAACATTTACCAAATTATAATAAAGCGTGTTCATATGTAATCTAACTGGGGAAAAAAACATGTTTAAATCAGGCACAAGTCCTGTTTGTCTGACTCTCATATAATAAAATGCAAAGCTTTTCCTTTCCCTTTCCCACTTCCTTGCTTTCTTTCACTTTTCATATTGCTGACCAGAATCAAGTGTGCTCTAATTTTTAGAGCAGGATTTCTAACATCAGTCTAAAGGGTTTCTAAGCCCTTGGAAATTGCATCATGTTGGAATGTGTTAACACTGAGTAAAACATGACTTGGTGTAGGCAAGGACTGTCCTGGTTAAGGTCCTGTCGGCTGATGGTGTGTTAGAAATAAATACAGCCAATTCCTCCTTTTCGGGCTCCTACACAGTTTATGTTCCTGGCTAACTAGCACTTGAAATTAAGCTGATTTTGAATAAACCACTCTTACTCCAGAATGTGTGTGTCCATGTATACAGGGAATAAGGAGTAGCTATTTCACTTCCGATTCACGCTAGCTTAATTCACATGATTTTCCCTAGGCGGACAACCCCTTAAACTAATTGGGCCGTGTCAACATGGAGTATTTCACACACTGTTGGTTAATGCAATGCAATTTCCCAGTTAAGTACCAGATCTGTGTTGCTGTGAACAAAGTCCTTGAAGCATCTGTGCCTCAGTTTGTCCATCTGTACAATCGGAATAGTTCCCTAAAAACAGGGAATTGTGAACGAGTGGCATTTAACTGAGGTTAAGCATTTAACACCATTCATTAAAGGATTTCTGTCTGTCTGTCTACAGTGCTGTTACTCAAATTATTTAGTGTCTTCAGACAGGTAGATATTTCTTCTGCCATTGTGTTGACTTTACCTCCATAATGAATCATTTGGGTGCTTGTGTTTGGTGCTAACGTTAGAAAACTGAGCTTTCATTATGTTACAGAAAATTGTAATTAAAAAAAAATAGAGATCTCTCAATATCCTTTAATGCCTGCATTTTATAACACAGCTTCTGAGGCTGCCTATGCCAACCTCATTACTGTGCAATGTAGTTATCCAAACATTATCAGAAGTCTGCAGTAACACACTAAACCCTTGAAGGTTAACACAGCTGGATTTGTCAATGCTTGTTGAATGTAGTAAGATATTTGTTCTTTAGGGAAGTTTCTTAAAAAAAATCCAACTGTCTGGTCTTTTCTCCTTTAATGAAAATGCTAGAAAAAAAGAAAATATCACTTTTTAAGTTTTGAAAAGCTTAACCTTTCTTCAGGGACATATTGCAGCTTTAGTAAGAGTCTTAGACTGAATGGATTTGGTCATGGCCGACATCGTCCTTCAAGCTGACCCTGTGGTCATGGTAGAGACTACCATTAGTTTTCTCCTTTAGCACTAACAGCTGTCTGAAGCTTCTTCTTATTCAGAGGGGACCACTTCTCCCAGAGCACTTCTTCCCTCAAGAGTAGTAGCTTCTTCATTATAGCTTACTGTATCTTCTCTTACAGTGCCCTCTGAAACCTTTTTCCCTTAGACCAAAGCCTGCTAGATCTTACTAGTATCACCTTCTGTTATGCTTCAAAGCATCTGACTGGCTGAGACACCATCACTGAGACAATCTGAAGCATCACTGAGATGCAGGCCATTATGGTGTCTATATACAGATACTCATGCCCATCCCAAGTGTAACTTGCAGTTGTAACTGTAAATTGAGCAAATGAAAACGTTACTGAACTATGGAGATAAGAGTTAGATTTTGATGTCTACATGAATAAAACATGGTAGGGAAGTTATTTCATGGAGAAATGATGCAAGAGCAAATTGCCATGGATCAATTTAATCTAATTTCTTTGTCTTGCTTCTGTGATCTAAATAAATGTTTTAATAATTTATTGGGGGGGCATTTAGTAGATGGGAGGGAAGTGAAAAAGGATACTTTAATATGAAGTAGAAAAGGAAAGCAAGACATTCAAGTTAGCCATTATAAGCTAGCTGGAATGTAAGCAGTTAAAGCAATGTGATACACAGGGGAAAAGACAGGCTTGTTGGATTTAGAAAGACATTGTATTAGAGTACAGAAATGTGAAGGGCTGTTTATTGTTGCTATGAAAATTCTGAAGGAAATAATGAA